CTGTTATAATATAAAAAAATTCTGTCATGCCACAGAGTTGAAAAGGAGTAGACTGGTGCTGTTGGTGCCCTCAGTGTGGGCACCAGTATATAGTATATACCAGTTTTAAAATCGTATAAATAATCTGTTAATTATCACTTCTGACTGAAATTAAGTAAATATATGATCCAGCGTGTGTGCGTCATATATTTGCAGAATTTGAATTTTTTCTTCCCTTCCAATAGAATTTATCAATCTTCATATACCGGTGCCCTTCAAAGGGTTAAATTTCAATTTAAAATATTAAAAACCTCAGGATGACTTTTAAACAACCAGAAGCCCACATATTATGTATTATGAATTTCATATATAAAATCAGTTTCCAATTTTAGTTAATTAGTATTCAAAATTAAATAGTTTAAGAATTTTTAAAAATTCAGTCTGCTTTCTTGAAAAAAATTAAGTGAATTAGTAAATCATAATGAAACTTTGTAAAAGAAATTAAAAAAAAAAATAAGGTTACTTATATTTTTAGCCGTAGAATAATAATAAAAAAAAAATAAATGAACATTTTTGCTATTAAAATGCTGCAAATTTTATTAAATTTTGTCAGTAATTAAAATGTTTCCCACCTTCCTTTTTCAATCTACTAAAATAAAAATAAAGTGTAAATGTATTAATTATGCTATTGATAACTGATTAGCTGAAAGACAACCTCTGTAGTTGAAACAACAAATTAATTAAAACTTCTATAATTTGACCTTTATTTGATACGTATTGTATTTGCACATAAAATTATTCAGTGTAAGTTTTAAAGCAAAAATCTGTAGTTCATTTATATAAATTTATGCAAAATTCAATGAAATGAAGCATTTCAAATAAAACCAGTAATAAACTGAGGTTTAATTTTGTACATTAATCTCACATTTGCTAAAGCTTACACCTTATCTGACACTTTATTATAAAAGTAAACATTGACTTCAAAACAAAATTAAACAGTTATTGTTATTTACTTGTCAAAATTTATATCAATGGTATAGAATTTTAGGATTAAAATAAGTATTTTATATGCTTCAGAACAACTCTTAAATATTCTAAAGTGTACCTAACAGGAAGCCATAAATGCATTTTTTTTTTCTGAAGTCAACTCTACCAAATTTTCAACGATTCAAAGTGCATTCAATCTGCTCTTTCCTCTAAACATGCATTGCACAATATTTACCATCAAGTATAAAAAAAAAAAAAAAAAGGTTAGAGGAATCTTTTTATCATATTGATGATCATCACATCAGCACACATGGGCATTACTTTCCTAATCTTTGACCACATATCAATAACAATCTGATAACTAGAAGGAATAATTTGGTAGCTTATGATGAAAAATTTACATTCACTTGGATTCATACTGGGCACTTTCTATATAGGCTTGGCTTATGAAGTATAGGTTTCCATATATAAGTACAGTATTCGTTAATATCAATAATAACAATTATAATCACTTTGATTCCAAATCACTGGTGCCATCACTATTGTTTAGCTAAAAAGCTTATTTTTAACAAACTTGTTCTACATGTATTTTGAATAATAAACATAACAAGTAAGTAACAAGAGTTTGTAAAAAAGGTTAAAAACATTTCTCCTAGTAATTTACTCATGGTTTCTTTTGATGTAAAATCATTATTCACCAATGTCCCAGTGGAGGGTGCATTAAGATGTCTAGAAACCAGACTTCGCGAATTTCATTTCTCTTGCATCGAAATTGAGGAGCTAATTTCTCTCACTCAACTCTGTTTGAAACAAACACATTTTGTTTTCCAAAATAAATATTACAAGCAAACTGAGGGATTAGCCATGGGAAGCCCCCTCAGTCCCATCCTGGCTGATATCTACATGCATTATTATGAATCAAAATTGTTTGAAACTTTAAACTTCCCGGCATGGTTCCGCTACGTAGACGATACTTTTACCTGTTTGAAGGTAATAAAGATGATTTAAATAAAGTTCTTTCAACAATGAATTCTATTGATCCTGCTATTCAGTTCACTTTTGAACTTGAGACTTGCAATTCTGTTCCGTTTCTCGACATTCTGGTCACACGTAACACATCCAACTTCAGTACTACGGTTTACCGTAAACCTTCATCGGTTTGCCTTCCACCACACTTTAAATCATGTCATCCGACTAAACAAAAGTTAGCTTCATTTTATTCCTATGTTTTCCGTGCTCTTCAAGTTTGCTCCTCCAAACTAGCCCTTGATGAAGAACTAAATTATTTAAAAGCAATAGCTATTGACAGGGGCTTTTCACCCAACATTATTAATCAAGCAGTTAAAAAATTCTCATCTGAACACACTAAAAGCCACACTCTTTTTAGGAGATTATAAAAATTCTGTTGTCATTTCCTTCTTTCCATCAATTAGCTATAAAGTTGCACATATTTTGCAGAAATTTAACTTTCGGGTTTGTTATTCTCCCATCAATAAAATTCCAACTTCTATACTCAAGGACCCCATTCCGGATATGAATTCCTGGGGGGTATTTATAGGATTCCTTGCCAGTGTGGTTTAATTTACATTGGCCAAACTAAGAGAGCCTTAAAATTTCGCGTCAAAGAACATGAGGCATATGTTAGAAAAAAGGAAACACAGAAGTCTTCTGTTTGCTCAACATTGCTGGTCCGAAAATCACACTTTCAATTTTTCTGCTGCCAAAATTATTCAAAAAACATCTTCCATTGGAGAACTGGATTTTCTAGAGGCATTTCACATTCATAAAAATCTTTCTGTTCTAGTTAACGATCCTAATTCCAATCCAAATTTGCCTTCGGCTTTTAGAGAAATTATGTTTTAGTTCTGGTTTCGCCAACAGATGGCGCCACTTGCTTATTCTTGTTCAGGCTTTCTTATCTTATCTAATCATTATTTCCTATCTTGTTCATTTGCGGTTTTGCAGCTGAAGATGATGGTTCGGTAAAACCATCGAAACTAGTCCTGTGAAAATTTTGTAGGTATAACGCTGATTTTTGTTGTTTGACTTCTGAATCAGTACCCTTTTGTTTCTCCTTTCAAGAAATTCTTCCAGCTGTAATTTACATAGGCTTAATTTCAAATTCATGTTATGCATGTGAGAGAATTACTTTCTGAGTAATTTGTATTCATAAAGTTTCATAAAACATAAATACAGAATTAACAAAATGGTGTACAGAAGCAGTTCTCAAACCTTCCATTTCACAGAGCCCTTTTTAGAATCATTTCATTTTGCAGTCTCCTATCCTATCCTATGTGTGATAAGTTAATGATATTTAAGAATTTTATTACTGCACTGGTAGGTTAGGAATTGTTCAAAGCACATGATTGCTATCACGCTATTGCATGGGTAGGAAAAAGGTAGGATACTAAGAGAATATAAAAAGTAAGGAGATATTTAAACAGTTTTGCAATGTGCATGAATTGAAATTACATTAAAAAATTTTTAATTTTATCATAATATCTTGATTTATTCTCAATGTGATATCAAAAGTTACACATACATAAAGATGCATTCCAAGTTCAATAATGCGTACCAGCTGATGCTACAACTGATATTTTATGTTATTCTTTGAGAACATCATTAAATCTTTACAATGAAAGCAATTTCTGCAGATAAATCATTACATGCACTTCAATTCAAACACAGATTTGCTCATTTTGCAAATACCTAGAATTTAATTTTATTATTTTTCAAATAGGTCTAAATTAGCCATGCCAGGAAGTGGAAATAAATATTTAAATCCTAGTCATTACTGTCAGTGAGCAGAGCAGGTGTCAGACATGTTGCTCCCTTATGCAATCTCTATTGTGAGTCCTAAATTGTGCTGTTTGGTGCCTCCCTAAATTCGTGTTACCTACAAAATTCTGCTGCCTAATGCATAGTCTACATTAAAAAAATTTTGCCATCCCTATTTTCTACTGACCAGCACGTCTTTAACCACTTGCACTACGACTAATCTTCATAGTTGCGGTGCCGTGTGCTACAATATAACAAGTGGTAAAGTGTCTCATTTACGTCGCTCCGCGTCTGCGAGTGCAATCCAGAGCTGTAACTCAAGAGATAAACAATCTCATTGTTAGGTGATATGTGCACCACATTATTTTCATTTTTGCGATAAATGCCTATTGATGTTTATGTCGCTCGTGGTTTGAGACAAAAGCATCTTGACATGCGTGGCACGTCTTTTTAGCGCAAGTGGTTAATGTATGTTGTTTGTGATATTTTGCATTATTCAGAATTCTATTCTGAAAAAAATACCTGTTATTTGGTGTTAAGTAAAGGGTACTTAAGTGTTCTCACAGCCATGTTAGTAGAAGTTGTCAAACTTTCAGAATATGCCAAACTGACAACCATGTGCATATCCATTCTTTAAGCATCTGTGCTTAAAAACCATCCTTCAGTCAAGCAACATTACCATTTTCACTTGCGTTCTTTTCTGCTAAAGTTAATTTTAAAATATGGTCTTGTGCAATTTGCTGGCAATGGAAGAAATTTTGGGAAACTTTCTGCCATAATTTTCCCCCAAAATCTTTAAAGGGAAAGATGAGGAGACATGTATGGTAGATATCTGGTATTGTCGCAGTATGCGTTAGATGAGTCTGCAATTCTCTGGTGTTTTTAAAAGCCAAAACAGAGCCACTGTGTGCTTGAGGAGAAGAATAGTGCACAACAATTGGTGAAAAATTTGGAGGCATATAAGTATTTTATTTTTTTATGTAATTTTTTTCACTTAATTCTTATTTAGCTAAATTTACCGTACTTTCATTAATATGTAAAATAACTATAATGATGCTGAGACCATTTTCTTCTTTTTTGAAGTATGTCTTCAGGTTGGTTACTGGATTGCTTTTCCTTATTTTCAAAAATTATTAATATAGCATAAATTTCGTATTTTATTTGTTAATAAATTTGTATGTGTATCTATCTGTTAAAAATGTGGATGCATTTGAAATGTGCAAGTTTAGTCAATGCATATTATATTCTTCATCTAGAATCAAATCAAATTGAAGATCCTCGACAGCAATGGAGACAGCTACAAGAAGCTATGCTAAAAGATTATCTTCTTACAGCTCAAGAAGATTTAGCTGTAAGTAATTCTAAGCATAAGTAAATTTTTATATCTTAATCCTACATTCGCCTTGTTAATTACAAGACGTAAATTTTTAGAAATTAAATATGGCATTAGAATTATGTTTTGCATGTATTTAAAATTTATTTTTGCATATCAAAAGTATTTTGTTGATAGAAAAAACATTTTTCTCTGTTTAACATTTGTTTTGGTATTTCAGGCAAAAAAGGAAATTTTTGATATTAAACAACAGAGACTTTCTCTTGCTCAAGATGAATATCATCATTTGACTGCAGCTCTTCAGGGTTTGAGCTCATGTCCTTCTAATATTAGCCTCTGTTCATCTGGATCTGCTGCTTCTTCTGCAAGCAGTTGTGCAACTAAATTTGACCCAGATCTTTTAAAAGCTGATGTAGCTTTGGCAAAAGACAGAGTAGCAAGACTTAAGAGAGAGCTAGAGCAAATACGCACTGAAATGTATTATAAAGAACAAGGGCTAGAAGCTTTATCACAGTAAGTTATTTTTTTAAGTCTTTAGAGTAAAATAAATAAATGTGAAGTAATTTAGGTTAAAAATAAACTGCCAAATAAGGATTATTGATGAACTTAAACAACCAGAATCAGTATAATGTTTGTAAAATTTTGCAGGTCTAGTTTCGATGGTTCAAATACAGAACCAACTTCTTCAGCTGCCTAAGTGCAAATGTGTGAGATAGACTGGTGATAAGATAAGAATGACTGGAAAGAAGTCAAGCTATTGGTGCCATCTGTTGATGAAACAAGAAAACTAAAATGTAATTTCTGGAAAGGCTGAGGGTTAAGATGAATTGGAATTAAGGTTGTTAACTAGAATAGAAAGATTTATGCCTCTAGAAAATCGTAATTCATTAATGAAGATGTTTTTTGAATAATTCTTGCTTTAGAAAAATGGAATGTGTGATTTTCTGACCAACAGTGCTGGGGCAACAGTGGATTTCTGTACTTTCTTTTTCTTAACATATGCCTCATTTTCTTTAATGCATAATTTTAAGGCTGTCTTATAGTTTAACCCATGTATATTAAACCGCACTGACAAGGAATCCTGTAAATACCCCAGGAATTCATATCCGTAATGGGATCCTTAAGTATGGAATTGATGAACTAGATTTGCTAGAGGCATTTCACATTCAAAAAAATCTTTGTGTTCTACTTAATGTCCCTAGTTCCAATCCACCTTTACCATCAGCCTTTAAGAAAATCGCTTATTTTTCTTGTTTTATCAATAAATGGCTCCAGTAGCTTGACTTTCTTTCAGTCATTGTTATCACCATATTCTATTTCGCTCATTTGCACTTGGCAGCTGATGTAGCTGTGGAAAAAAGGATTTTGTTTAGGAACTTCACAGTAGCTATTAGGAACCGATTCGTATGTGTTGGTTCAAATTTTTCTGCTTGCTGATTGAATATGTGAAAAAGCATTAATATATGATTGGATATCCCATTCCTGGGATTTACAGACTTGAAGTATTGTTGAAAAACAGGTTTTTTTTTTGTTTGTTTAATTAAAGATAAGGATTTTGGAAAACGTAACGAGACTTCAAAATAAAAGGGAAAATTTATTTCATGATTGTCTCAGTTTGAAGCCAGCATAACTAAATGAAAAATTAATTTCCTTGATAAACTTACTTTGCGTAGGAGAATCTATACCTTGAGGAATTCATCGTATGAGCTATATATTTCTAATATTGTTAGACAGAATTAAAAATTATATCTTTTTTGATGCAAATTCTGTGTTTTGTAATAATTTGCAAAAAAATACAGTGATCTGAAGGGAAAAAAAAAGCTTATGAGATAGCTTTCAGGCAAGTATATGTATGGTATGTATTGAAGGAAAAAATCAGAGGAATGTGACGGTTGTTTGGTAATATCTTAGGAAAACTTGTCTTGTAAATTTCAGGTGTAGATTCTATATACATGGATTGACAGAAAGATTTGATTGCCTCCATTTTGCTTTGCTGATATTATGCATTTTTAGGCCATACATTCATATGTCTGAATTGTAGTTAGACACTCATGGTCTTAGTATTTCACCATAATGCATGGAAGGACCTGGTATGTTTTGCCATGGGCAGTGAGAAAGGCATTGTTTGGAAAGTTTGATTGAATTTTGTTCTGTATTCGGAAAGAGCAGTAATGAAACATTTTAAATGCTATGACATGCATTTATTTGGCAGTAAACCTCTCTTACAACATATGTATGTGGCAGTAACTCTGTTGGTGGTAACTGAGTTCAGTGGAGCCTTTTTAAGTAATAACAGCATGAATTATTAACAAAGCACATTCTATGGTTATTGATGTCAAATAACAAAAAGTCACTATTTTACTAATTCACTTATGAATACCATCCATGCAGTGTGTTGCTGCTGTGGCATTATCTGTTGTGAAATTGATTGGACAGTACTAGTATACCCTCCATAAAGTACAAGCTTATCACCACATGATATCTTGGGTTTTCCAGTACTGAAGAGATAACTCTGCTGAAAGAGGTTTTCTTAATATGATAGAGTAAAAATTATGTAGAACATTAGGCTTCTGATTGTGAATAAAATTTTGGTCAGCGGTGGTTACATTGAAATTGCTCACAATTATTTTTCTTTTTGTTGAATGAGAAAACTTTCTGAACATTTTTTAAATCAATATTAAGTATAACACTAGTCTTCACACATTTGTCTTCTGATTGTGAATAAAAGAACCAGTATTACAAATTTTCAATTGGCACTTCCACATTTTTGATTTATAGTGACTTAGCTGAGTGCAAAAATATGAAAGTACATTTTCATGCAAGTATATCAAAAAGCTGTATGTAATGCAAGTTTAATAGTAGAAGCTGAAAGAAATCAGTGTTTTGGTTACTATTTGAGTATCAAAATATGCCCAATAATAGTTGCGTTTCACTACTGAATAGTCTAAAATTGTGTCTGTTCGTAAAATTAAACTACATCCCACTTGAACCTCATATGTTTAAAAATACCAGCTTATAACATTTTTACTTCAGGTTTTTATTTTTATAACATAGACTTTACATTTAACAACTCTTAAAAAAAAAAAAAAAAAAAAAAAAAAAAAAAACTTATGTAAAATGAAGCTCCTCGCAGATGATTGGCTGCCAGTCACTTATATGACTCACTATTATTAAGTAGAAAAGAACATAGCTATAGCATGTGATGAGGAGGGAATTGAGCAATGTAAATGGTATTAGTGTGACTAGTTTCAAGTAGTTGCATTCTATTGTACGGGTTTTGGTCAGTGGTGGTTACATTGAAATTGTTCACAATTACTTTTCCTTTTGTTGAATGAAAAAACTTAACACTGAACATTTTTAAAATCAATATTAAGTATAACACTAGGCTTCACAGCTGAGTGCAAAAATATGAGAGTACATTTTCATGCAAGTATATCAAAAACTGTATGTAATGCAAGTTTAATAGTAGAAGCTGAAAAAAATCAGTGTCTTGGTTACTATTTGAGTATCAAAATATGCCCAATAGTAGTTGCGTTTCACTACTGAATAGTCTAAAATTGTGTTTGTTCATAAAGTTAAACTACATCCCACTTGAAGCTCATATGTTTAAAAATAACAGCTTATAACATTTTTACTTTCATTGTGCAATGCTTCAGATTACATCAGTTATTTGACGAGCTGTTTCTGTTAAGGAGCATTACTTCTAGTGGTTGTGTTTCTGAAATTGTATTGTACAGGGTGGTTATAATTAAAGTTCTGCTGTTATAATTAAAGTTATATAGGAAAACTACTGGACTAGATGTTATCAAATTTGGTAATCCTGTAAAGGAGGTCATGGGAATTTATTTGCCAAACTCAACACCAAGGGGGGCTGTATACAATATTGTTAGACAGACTAAGGGTCGGAATCTAACTTAACTTTTTGTTACATGAGTTTAACATGTTTTATACGCTTAAAAGACATTGACCTAAACGAAATTATGATTTACAGGCGATAAAAGTCGAGTGTGCCATTAGTGTAATGGAGAACTTCGTTCGTGAAAAACCACAGATTAACGATTAGAAGTACAGATCTCTAATTTGTCATTTTTGAAGCCTGAATTTGTCCTAAGACATGAAGATATCGGTTTAAAACGTTTTCAGTCATTTCTAAATGACTTAGTTGGTTTACGGCATGAAGGAGCAAATGATTTATGCAAATCAGTAGTTTTCCTTTTATGACCATTTCAAAGTGGATCTTCAATTATAACCACCCTGTACTTTGCTATCATGATGACGTTGTGTTAAACGTAATCTTGGTTGGAAAACTATTATGTGATTTATTTGCTTGTTGCAAAAGAAAAACTTGTGTCTTAAAATTATAAATGAAAAAATTTTTAGCATAATTAATCGTAAAATGGTATCTAAATAATGACATAATGCCAAATAAACTGAATTCTTAGTTAGTGTCATGCATGCTGTTTCAGCTTACACCATACTGGATACCTGTGTAAATCAGAGCTTCCAGCTATTTAAATTGATACCTGAATGTCAGATTGTAGAGGTCTTTGACTTTCCTGGATTGCAGCTCTTAATTTTCACTGTAGCTGCAGAATTTCTAGATGCATAATCAGTATTTGTATAAAGGAAAAATAAATCAGTATTTGTATAAAGGAAAAATAAGGCTAAACTGATAAACATGTCAAGTGGTGATGCTTTGTGTATACAGTAATTCTGTATTAATTCAGTGTATATTGTTGATGTAATATAGGTGTCTTCAACCTTTCATGCCCAAGAGCCACATCAATAAATTCACAAAGATTCGTGGGCCACATGTCTGTCAGGGAGGTTGGTTTTGCAAGATGACTATTGATTCTAGTCAAAGAGAGTGTTACAGATGTGTATATATATATAGATATACATACAAAAAGTAGAAAGGAGTAAATTAAAAATTGATTTAACTGTCCTTTTCCTTTCAATCTTATTTATACGTACATGTACATTAATTCCAAAAAGTCAAATGGAAATCAAATTAAAATGTTTAGTAACTTTTTTTAACTATGAAAAAAAGAATAAAGATGATTGTACAGAACGATGTTACAAAATGTTTGCAACTTTTTTAACTATGAAAAAAAGCATAGCATAAAGATGATTGTACAGAATGATAATACAAAATGCATTTACAATAAATAAAAGAACAAAAAAAACTTGCATAACTGGAAGGAGATGGTAGTTACTTTAGTTTTAGTGTGAAATTTGACATTGTTTTTCTTGATTGAAGCTTCAGTATCCAGTTTAATCTGTATTGTTGCAATTTGTAAAGTTTCCTCCAAATGGCTGTCTGTCAGCTATGCTCTTGTTTTTGATTTTAGGATTTTCGTTTTACTAAAATGCTGCTCACATATATAGGTACTGCCAAAGATAGAAGACATGAAGAGAGCATGTTTACAAATTGCTGGATAAAAATTAATGTAGAATTTTCAAGAAACTTGTATTTTACTGCAGTCACACTGTAAATCTATAAATTCTAATTGAAGTTCAGGTGGAACACATTCAACGTTTACTGAAAATGGCAAGAACATTCTGATAAAAATCTCATTTTTGTGAAAATCTGAAAATCTGTTTTTGAATTCCTCTTTCAAATGTGAAGTGCGTACATAATTATTTGAATTTCATGCTGTAGACATGACCTTCACACACACCATCAATTTTGGAAAGTGAGTGGAATTCTTATTTAGCAACTGACTTTCCACTTGATTAATTTTGTTTCGAAAGCTTTCACAAAGTAATAAAAATTATGAACAAGTAGATCTTTTCCCATTAAGTGGTAGTTCAAATCATTGAGATGACCTTTAATATCGGCAAGAAATGCAAAGTATCTCAACTATTTCTCATCGCTGAACTCGTGGATAGATTTCCCTTTAGATTCCATGAATTGTTGAACTTCGCTCATCAAAGAAAACAGGTGCTGAAGAATCTTTCCTCGACTCAACCAACGTACTTCTGCGTAATATACAATACCACCATATTAAGCTTCCAAATCACTCAGGAACTGTTGAAATTACCTGTGATTAAGTCCTTTAGACCGAATGAAATTAACTACTTTTACAACAACATTCATCACATGTTCAAAGTTTGTGGACTTCTTGCACAAATTTTCTTGGTGGATGATGCAGTGGAAAGTCATCATAGTATTATTTTTACTTGCCTTCACATCAGGATGGAATAATGTTGTTACTCTTATTTTCTCTCCAGTCATAGATTTAGCACCACCTGTGGTTATAGCAGATATATTACAGAAGTCTAACTCGCATTTATCCAAAGTTTGTGTCAGACTTGTGTACAAATCTGTTCCTCGTGTTATACCTTTAAGTGCAACGACACTGGCTAATTCCTGTGCAATTGTCTCTATCAATGCCACATATAAAAATGGCTATTTGGGCAGTATCTGTTGCATCTGTTGATTCATCCATTGCTACAGAATAAAACTCAGATTGTTTGCCTTTGGATTTTAATTTACTGAATATATCTGTTGTGACATCCTTTATGCGCCTAGCTATTGTCACACCAGGCAAGCTGGTATTCGATATGACTTGAGCCTGTGATGGACAAAGCACATCAACTGCACTCTGAAGACATTCTTTTGAAAATTCTCCATAAGCAAAGGGTTTTCCAGGCTTAGCAATTTTTTCTGCTATCATGTAACTAACACAAACACTATTTTCAGATTCTTTATTCACTATGGTGAAGAAAGTCTGCTGAAAATTTAGTTTTGATTTTAATTCACTCACCTTATCGCTTCGAAAATGACCTTCCAATGCAGAATGTTTCTCACTGTGCTTAGTATCATAATGTTGTATTCCTTCACCACAGCTACACTATCACTGCAAATAAGGCAAACTGCCTAAAATTCCTCATTTTCAGAAAATTTTATCTCAAATAATATCAGGCATGCCAATAAAATGCTTTAAATATCAAAAATAAGAGAAAAAATTCTTTTTACAATTAAAAGCTGACAAGGCAATTTTTCTTGAAATCAAAATTTCTTAAAACTTCATTTCTTCAAATTCAAATGTGGGGCCACTAAAATGCCTTCAGCCATGGGTTGAAGACCCCTAATGTAATAGAACCCGTGATACTGTTATGAAAGTAGAGTCTATGGCCATTGCTATCTTTTAAGATATCTGCCATGGAATATTTCAACAATATTTTGATTAAAGCATTTTATTTTAATGGCATCAATTAACTATAAATGACAGTATATTGCTGATAACCCTGGATTGTTTATGCACCATAGCCCTGGATTTGTTCATACATCATGATATTAAAAAAGCCCTTGTAGTTCTAACAAACACTGCATTATTTGTTTGCTTTGGGCGAAGCCTTTTTATCTGGCTTACATTAAAGTCCTGTTTACAAAATGTTTGTATTGTAAGCAGTGTACCATCCTTCTTCAGTCCGCACATTGTAATAACCAAAAAGCTGTTTTCTATTACATCATGTCTCCATTTAATGAATGAATCTGTTCAACATGAATTTTTCTTTTTTCCTCTTCTTGGTTTTCTATAATTGATTCCTGCCATTTGTGTTCCATTTATCTTAAACTGTTTGCCCTTTACATAATGCAAGAAGAATTCTTTCAGTGTCTTTTTATTTTTGTGGGATTAGTGTATATTATTTCTCATTTTTTAATAGTTGAGAAGCCATCGAATGATCAGTCTGTATAGTTATGATTTTAATTAAAGTTTATTAACAAGTTGATTACTTTTTGCCTGTTTCTAGGGTAGATCAGCAGTTTTCTGGGCAAACAACAAGTTATACATTAGCTGAGGCACAAGCTATTATGGAAGAACTTCGGAATATTCAGAAATCTCTCAGTTGTGGTGAAAAAGAGAAGGCTGAGTTAATGCAGGTTTGAAAACAGATGTTTAATCAACTGTGTATTTTAATTCAATTATCATATAGTTTTTAAGCTAAGCATTTTATATCATATAATTTTCTTAATTTTCAGTGTATTTTGCATACCTTTGCTGGTGCATTATTATACTTGTGATGATCTATACTATTTTATGTAATGTTCTATTACAGAGCTTATCAAGATTAAAAGATGACTTGTCTCGTTTACAACCTTCATCACCCGATGTTTCAACTTTGAATATTCCATTAGAGAAATTTAGTACAGCATCACAGACTGATCTGTCTGGTGAGGTATGTTGGCAGTTTTGTTTTAATTTAATTATTTTAAATATATTTTAGTTAACTGAATTATTTAATTTGTTTCAATTGTGTAGTTTGCTCCCATTGGAGCAAGACTAGCCGAAATGGCGAGAATGAGGTTGCAGTATGATGAAGCAAGAAAAGAAGTGCACCGAATTCAACAGGATTTAGCAGATCTTGAAGAAAAGATGTCTCCTGGGCAAACAGAATCTGATAAAGATAGGTATGTACAAATTTTTATTTATATTAGAAGCATGTTATTTAATGATAAATTTTGAGAATGTTTAAGAAAATTTTAGCTGGAATAATTGTTTATAATGCCAGTTGTATGCAGCAAATGGGCAAGTGGGACAAAATAATTAGGAACTTGATTGGCCATCAGAATTGCAGTATCAGGGAAGATCTATCTGATTGACCCAGAAGTAGAGTAATGTATGGGTCATGTAAAGCTATCAAGTGATTGAAAGCCCAGCACATACCAAAGTCATTTGTGCCATTAATATCTCTTTAAACAGTGTAAGGTGAACAACTAGAAATTGGCTGTTAAGCATTGTACTTGGTATTCTTATCATTCTTGTGAACAGGCAAAATTGTGGCATAAAAAGGCATTGGATTTGTTGTTCTTAGAAAGTCGTGCTCATATCAAATGAAGTATGTCTACACCAATTTAAATATGGAATAAGTTAATCTGTGGAGAATGAACTAGTGGATGCAAAGGATCCCATCACATCACCAGATGAGTGGACGTGCACCTTGAGCACTATTACAGATCATCAAGCCTCATCAAAAGCACAGGTATTCTGGTGTACTCACAGTAACCATTGTACAGTCAAAAGTCTTTAATCTGTTCCTTAAATCTACAAACTTTCTGCGCATGCGTTAATGCATGCGCGTAATACCTGTATGCATGCGCGCATATGCGTTTACGCATGCACAAAATACGTTTACGCATGGCCGTTTAATGTATAACGGACGGTATAAGCTAAGCTAAAACTATCTAATTATCTATTTCAGTTACTGTTGCAGATTACGTTGTTCCTTAATCTTCGAATTGGATCCGGCTTATTATTTTTTGCAGAATGTTAGAGCAATTTTATAAAAAGTAAGTTTGAAGTTTCGATTATGTCAAAAAGTTTCCAATTCTGGAGCTGGCAAAGAATCTACAAAGCGAAAGCATGTTTCGATCTCCATTAAGCAAAAAGTGGAATTGCTGCAGAAAATGGATAAAGGTATGAAGAAAGTGACTGAGTGGTGATTGTTTCTCTAACCATTCCGAAATCTGTTTATCAATTTCACGCTGGTCTGTGGGGGGGGGATGTCGTGGCGTGCAATGAACTGAAAGTTGATCTGTCAGCATTTTCCTTATCTTCAGGGTAGATGTTTTTATTTTATTCTGCTTATAATTCCTCACTAAATGTAGTGTTTCATCTCTGTGTACTCCGATATAATTTAAATCAATTTCCTCGTCATTATAAATATCACGAATACATATCAAATAGTTTTCTGGTTGCAATTTTCTAATTTCGACTATGCGTAATATATGCTTTACGCATGCGCGCGTTGAAAGAAATGTTTAATAAAGTAAACAAATAAATATTAAGCTTTTTTATTGTAAATTTTGATACTCGTTCGATTATAATTGCTCTTTATTTCATAAATTACGGTTTCATATTTTTAATTTTATATAATTTCTGCATGCCATTTTACCAGATTTAAGCTGATGATCAGTTATCCGGATAAACCGATAATCCAGAATCGTCGAAGTCCCGATGAGTCCAGATTAAAGACTTTTGACTGTATCTGTTTATGGCTTAACTTTGCTTGTAACATTAGTTCCCAACTTTCTCTCTCTTGCATACCCCTTAATGGGATTGTGTAATGCAGAGTACCTCCTAACTTTCCCTTTCAAAACTATGACCACCTCTCTCACCTCCTTACAATATTTCTGCAATATCTTGTACTGTTGTATTATATTAGTGAGAAAAATAGTAAGAAAAGGCTGTTTATTACATTAGTTTCAGATAAGTACAGTGATAACACATATTTAAAACTAAAACAACATTATTAATTTGTTGTAATTATTTTGAATATCAGTTTTTCTGAGATAGAAATGAAAAAATGAGTGAATTGATGAATACTAATGAGATTTAGACCTACACTGAAGCACTAAGCATTCTTGAAATAGCATTATAGCTCCAGTAAAATTTGTAATCATTTTGTAGTAAAATAATATATAACTTTGCATAAAGGAAGATGAAAGAAAAAGATTTGTTTTAGTTTTTAATTACTGTCTGTTCAAAAGTCATTATTCATGTCCTTGTTTCACCAAGAAATTGTATTGTTTGAGAAAAAAAAATCCTCTTAATTTTTCAAATATGTTTTTTCTCCAAACATGCATCGAGCAGCATCAAAATTTCAGCAATTGTATATTTTTTACTACTCTTAACAACAAAACTAATTTTGTAGGATTCTTCAATCTCATTTTCATCATCTTGTTAAGTGAGAATGAGCAGGATTTAACATTATCACTGTTAGACAGTTTAGGAAAAAGGTTTATTAATTTACATTTAGAATTGGGATGTTTGGTTTCTGATGATGCAGCAGTAACAGAGGTTTTACTCATCTGTTTTATAGAGCTTCTGTATGTATTATACAAAGTGGACTGAAGCTATTCCTGGTAGGCTTTGTTCATATGAAGGCTTTGTGGTTTAAGGCATAAAAGCCATTAAGTCTGCTTACACTTGTTTAACAAGGTTTAAACCATAATCTGTCAGGGAAAATGTGTAGCTGACTAAGTGAATCCATCAGCTGAATGTCAATTTGTGTTTGCTTTGCTGTTATTGGTCAATTCTTGTACCGGTTGAAAAGTTAGAACTTTAACACAAAATCTTTAAACCAGTTTTATGACATAACAAGGTCTGATTGCATAGCGCCTTATACTTCCTTATGACTGGGAAACATCATTTGAAGGGAGGCTTATGAATTAAAAATCCATATTACATATTTATCAGAATATTTCCTTTTCCACCAAGGACCGTTGTTTGAAATTTTCTTAGTACTTAATCAGCATATCTCCTGGCAGAGAGTGTAGAGAGTGTAAAGAGTGTACACATGTAATAATGCAAATGTTTGCGTTGTCAAATATGCAAAGCTTTAGTGAAGTTGTTTTTGTGAAGTTCCGTGTGCATACGCGACTGCATGCGAGTTGCAAGGTTGCCTGATAGGCTGTCATTGTGTTCGAGTAGTGTTTGCTGTATTTATTTCGCCAAGCTAGTGGTGTTGCAGTTTATAGAAATTTTACCAATACTGCTAAGCAGTGTAAGTTAACATGATTCAGAAGCAGGCGATAATTTGTATGTTGTAATTGTTAATGGACAGTCAAGATTTAGTTTAGCATTCTTATATATTCATTCAACTCTTAATTCAGGAGATTGAAGGTGTTTTTGTTTAGTGCATTGAGGAAGTATTTTGAGAGTACTTTATTGATTGATGTAGTTTACTGTAGATAACCTATTATTATGATGGGAGATTTCAATGTAGGTATCAGACAAAATGAAAAGGCATTTGATTTTATGAAACATCATTTTAATCTCAATATGGCGCCTATTCAACTAAGCTTGGAAATTCATTTATAGATTTACCATTTACTAGGAATATAATGGCAGATATTTTAAATTATGTATCTTATTTCTCATATTATCAACCAATTTTACATAGGGTCATTTTGAATGAATAAATGTAATAAATAAATGATAAAATATATGTGTATGTAAATGTTTTATTTGTTCTAGTATATCCTAACTGTTCCTGCTAGAGTAATCCTATGCATTAAACACAAGCGGTTCTTTAATCTCAAAGAGAGAGAGAGAGACTACTATCAAGCTTTTATTTTTATAAAATAAACTTAACACTTAACAATTCTTAAAAAAACAACTTATGTAAAATGAAGCTCCTTGCAGATGATTGGCTGCCAGTCATTTATATGAGTCACTATGATTAAATGGAAAAGAACGTAGCTATAGCATATGATGAGGAGGGAATTGAACAATGTAAATGGTATTAGTTGGATTAGTTTCAAGTAGTTGCATTCTGTTGTATGGGTTTTGATCAGCGGTGGTTACATTGAAATTGATCACAATTACTTTTCTTTTTGTTGAATGAAAAAACTTTCTGAACATTTTAAAAATCAATAATAAGTATAACACTTTATTTTCTGCGATTAGTGTTAATTTTTTTTTTCGTTTGCATACCCCTGATCAAGCCGTCATGTTTCCACAGGAAAATGTACCCCAAGGAGGCATGTTTTCCACAGATCGGGAAACACTAGCCTATAGCATTGGAGAATTTTCACTAGGCACTCATTGCAACAGCTATCTTTATATATGCTGTGGATAGAGCGACCAATGGTATATCATTTTGTCTGATAAATACGTATGGTATGGTGCTCACATCTGAATCTGGCTATAGCACAGTCATAGACCTGCGAGTCTTTCATTATGTATTGTAATGTTGGTTTAGCTTCTGGCATCATGGTGTGGCATGCTATCGGATTCAGTCCTGCTTATGTATACGTTTCCAGAAAGTTGAACTGCCAGCATTATATTTTTGTTCCTTATTCTGTTAGGGACAGTTATTGATTGGCCTACTGAATTTGATCTGCCTGGGGCCAGTTACTAATTGTGTGAGACTGGCATTCTGGATTACCACCATGCTTTTTGCCCTTGGTCCATGCATTATCTAAATTTGTTGTGTGCTCAAACAGCAAATGGGGCAGCAATGACCATTTATGGTTGTTGTAGGATAGAAGCTTGTTTGAACTATATTGACTGATATATCTACAAGTATATAGTCAACATTTGTTTTTATATCTGTGCCATGCTCTTTTCAATGGCTGTTATTGCCTCATGATGGCTACAAAACATACTGTTATGGGGGTAGTTACTATTTTGTAGTTAAAATGAGGTTGTATTTGCAGGCATTTTCACATCATCTTAAGTTTCCTATTTTGTTTGTATTTCTGTGTATTATTATACATAGCTTTTGTTCTTTTGTAGTGTGCTTTAAAATAGTAGTTATTCTAAAATTATGTTATATGTCAAATAAGAAATTATAAGGAGGCAAATATGAAATTTAAATTCATCTAGTAAGTCTTTAAATGTTCCATGCAAAAATGGGGACTAAATTAATAAAATTACTAATTTCCCTTTTAACATATTTTTCTGAAGTGATTAATTTTTAGGTTCCCAGAATGTGATCTAAAACAATTTTCCCCTTATTGTGGGGAAATTTTTTCGTAACCAAACTATCGTAAACCAAAGAAAATGTAAATTAAAAAAGAGTAAGTTGCTGGGGAAAAAAAAGAAAGGCAGGAACAGTGCTTTCTAGTGGGAAATAGAAAGCACTGTTCTTTCTTTTTTTATGCAGATGATGTTAAGGATGTGTCTTTTGTCACCAAAAATGTGACTAATGAATTGTGACTAGTGATAACTGAAAAGTGCCTCATAATTTCAGATTGATAGAACTTAAAAAATTATTTTTTTGCCAGTCATAAGATAGGTTTCATGCAAAGGTAACGATTGATAGGAATATGACTTGTTTGCTAAAATTTGATAAATATTCTAAATGTGATGCAATCCAGTATGAAACCTGCAATTGAATGCGATTCAGTATGGAACCTGGAAAATATTAACGATGCAGGAAACAGAAAATTTGACTACTTTGAATGAATTTTCTATTAAAGACATTCGAATAATTATTCCCATTATGTTCTTAATTCTTAAAGTAAGATTATTTAAAATTGGGTAAACTGAAGGAGATGCTGATACATTAAATATAAGTTTAACAACTTTCTCAAATTATGTTGATATCTTCCTACTCAATGTGAGTGGCATAATGGGTTTTGCTAGATTCTGTGTTAAAACGTATACTGCATTTTGATGTTAAAACGTATACTGCATTTTGATCGCTTTATCCTAAATAGTATAGTAGGTAAACATTTTGAAATTAAACTGTAGTAGCAAAGTGTGCAGGATGAAATTTGATTTGGTTGGTTATTATTTATTTATAGTTTGAGAAGTGGTTCTTTATTGGTAATAAATTACTGCTGTTTCTGTAACACATTTAAAGTGATGAATGAACTATGTTAATGATTTGTAAGTGCATAGTATTGATATATATATATATATATATATATCAATGTGTGTGTGCGCGTGTAGAATAAAAAAAGACTTTATTGCATTATTTGCATGAGTCATTTCATGTTAATTGTTATATGTTGTAAATTATTTTTCATAAGAAGTTCTATCAAGTCCTTTGGCATGCTGAGTATATAATTTAAGATTTAAAACATCTGCCTGGCCTCTCTGCAAATTTTGCATGTTATTCTCTTTGCTTTTGCATGGCTAGGCTACTCCTCATTCAAGAGAAAGAGCAGCTTCTTCGAGAGCTGCGTAGTATCAACATCAAAGGTCGGAGCGAGGGGGAGGTAGCTTCTATTCAGACAGAAATATACAAGCTAGAACAGGAGCTGGGAAATGCAATGGAGATGTCAAACAGAGCAATAGCGGATAGGTAAGCTCTTTTAAAAAACTTCATTGCTTAATCTCTTCTAAAGCAGTGCTTACATAAAATACATCTGACACATGCTTCAAAGCATGCATAGGGATAATGCATGAACTTAATTTTTACAAATATTTCTCTGGCAAGTTATAGTTAATTTTTAGGTTCCCAGAATGTTATCTAAAACAATTTTCCCCTTATTGTTCGAAATTTTTTTTTTTATCATTAAACATTCATCTACTTTAAATTGATAGATAATTCTCATTACTCTCGAAACCAAACTGAGTTTGTTGCTTATGGAATGGGGAATAAATTAGTTTAGCATATACTCTGCTGAAGAAAAAATTAATTTGAATTGTTTAAAAGTGTTCGTTTTAAAATAAGATTTGGAAGATAAATATGGAAGTAATTTATGAAGCTGTTAAATTCACAGTTAAAAAAAGTTAATTCAGAATGAGGGCTTTTTTTTATTTTTATTTATTTATTTATTTATTTATTGTATTAACTTTTTACAAAATGTTTGCAGAGCTAGAAATAATTAACTGTGACATTTCTGCTGCTGTGTAAAATAGCCTAATTTCTTGTTGCCTAGATGAATTATTCATTGTGCTTCTAAACCAGCGGTGTCCAGCCTGTGATGCATATAGCTTGCTTGATGTGCAGTGCATCATTTAATCAAAATCAAAATATAAACACATGTGATATTGAATTTGAAAATAAAAACTGATTGGGTGTTTAGATCAAATGCATCAGTGAGTGATGTTTAAGAAAATCAAGCATTTAAAATTTATTTGAAGTAGTAGTATTAAGATTAAAAACTTAAATCACTGCGTCATTGTCTGTATCACATTACTCATATTTGGTAGACAGTTTTAAAAAGTAATTAACAGTCTGTATCACATCACTCATTTTTGGTAGGCAGTTTTAAAAAGTAACTAACAAGCAAAAATTACCTATATAAAAAGAAAAGGAAGAGTTATATTAATCTTTGTTTTCTTTTTGCTCAAATTATTTTGCTTAGTTCATACAGTTTAATCAACTCATATTTTTTCTTCCTACCTGAAACGCTATTCTATTCTATTGAATCCTGTTTCATTAATGAAGTATTAATCAAGGTAATAGAGCATACCTTGTGGTTTGGCTTGCTCTGACCATATGCAATAAAGTACTGACAGAACATAAACATCTGGTGGCTGACAACCAGCATTTACCCAATTTCTGCAGTAAAAATATACAGTACAAAGTCTAAAATCCTGATGTCCAATATCCACATCTTTGGATCACCAGCAATTTTTTTAAGAATTTTTTTAACGAAGTTTTGGAAAGAAAAAAAGTAATTGTGTTGTAAAAGGGATTTTTCTCCAAACAGATTCCTGTACTACGTCACTTTCAGACATCTGCTTGCTAGGGAATTGCACCGTGCCAGCTGTATATTGATAGGCATTAGCCATGATCTTACTTTCGAGCCTTAAGTAGATGTAATGGAGGGTAAGTATTTTTCCTTCTGAACTAAACAGCAAGTGAAGTCCCAAGACATATTTGTTTGGAGTAGGATGTTACTCATACTGCTTTTCTTTTGTTGGCATACCAGTGGGAAAGAGAAATAGATTCTGAAGATCTTAAGTTCAATTAGCATAGCAAACTGCTGTCTTCCTTATTCTAATTTGATTCAGCTTATTATCTTTTGCAGGGTGTTATTATAGCAATCTTATTGAAATTAAAAGTGTGACTCTTTTTTTTTTTTAATATATATTGAAAAGAGTTTCGATTCTGGATTTGTAGTAGGATCTGTAAAGTGAAAGTACATTTGGTACTTGCCTTCTATGGCAGCCTTGATGAGAGAAAACAGTGTCACCATTCAGACTGAGGAAAACGTGATTCCAAAATTGTACAAAACGGCAACCTCATTTTAGTATAGATTTTGAATGTTGTAGAAAGCAAAATTTTGCAATTAATAGAATTTGTGCAGAAATGGTGGGAAGTAATGATAAATGAAGTTATTTCCATTGCAGTGAAAGTGCCAAATCAGTAATCAACTAATGGATAGCAAAATGTTTTAAATCCAGAAAATAATGCCATCAACAATGAAGAAAGTGACAAGGAAGTTTTAGAGATTCAAAAAATTCTAACTTATTTTGCTGTAATCCATTAACTCTCAATTTTTATCTAGTTATTTCCCATTTCAGCCCTAAAAATCGGAATTGCATATAATAACTATCTCTAAACAGCATCATTTAAAAATTAATACATGTGATATTATTCTTGCATAATACTCATGTCACAGATGCTAATATAACACAGCCAATAATGATTTCAAATTTGAGAACCAAAATTTGTTATTAGCCACTGGGGACAAATCTGAAATGAAACTAAATTATTCTGAACCAAACATTCATCTTAGACATGTGATATTCACTATCTGCTTCTCTGTCTAGGTAGAATGATGGTGCTGCTTTTCTTACTGTGTCATAAGCATGTTAAAACTTTTTAAAAAACAGGTGTACTTACTGCAGAAATTTATCTGTGTTGGCTTAAAAACTGTGTGTTGGTGAAAATAAATATTTGACCGGCCAATGATTCAAGTTATTACAGTTTTATTTATTATCACCCTCCATAAAGATAACAATAGAAAAGCTTTTTTTACTGAAAATGTTTCAAAGCAGTAAAGAATAGAGAAATATTACATCATGGAAAACACAAATCAGGAAGTAAATAAATATTTTTAAAAATTGCAAACAAGAAAATTTGAATATTATACGTATATTTACTGAAACAAAATTTCTATGATCCTTATAAAATTTCAGTGTAATTTACATTAGAGTGTCAAAATAATTCATGCAGTTCTTCAGTGAAAGCTTTTAAAAACTTTTGTTACAAATAAAACGCTTTTACATACTAATTCCTTATCTTTATACATGATAAACCACAAAAATTTATTTTATTCTAATTTCCATATTTATAATTTACCTATTAACATTATAAGTATTTATAGCTTGCTGAAATTCTGATTGCATTCTTATTTATTTTTATCAAAATTTTATATATGCTGTATTTTTTAATTTGAGCAGTTACTGGAAAAGGCCTCTATACCTTACATAAGGTAGCTAGTTTATCTAGTCTTTGAGAACTGCATTCAAGATTAAAGGGACTGCTGCAAATTAAATTAAAAATTTTGATTCACAATTTATTATCTTTTCTGCATTCATGTAATAAAGCAAACTTAGAAGTAACAGAGTAGGAAAGAGCAACTTTTCAGCTGCCTATTTCAAAGTATTTACAGTTTGGATAGCTTTGTTGTAACAAGAGAAGCAGCAAGCAGCAGTCTTATCTAGGATGAGGTGCAGAAATTATATTCAGGAGGTGAAATCTTGATTCAGAATGAGTTAGCTTTGGTTATCAATGTATTTGATTGAGTAATTAATAATATGAAATTATTATCGGCTGTTTGAGTTTTATTGTCATTTACATCACCAGTGATATGTTAGTCATGTGACATGGATTAATCTCGAAAGGACACAGTGCTGGAAAGCAGAGTTTTTTAGAACAGAGAGGGAAAATATCTAAATTAAAATTAAGCATTAAGGCTGTTGCTAATTTAAATTAATAATTTATATTAATATATTTTAAAATTTCTTACTCTCACATAAGCATGTATATATATTTAGCTTATTTGCAGTTAAAAAATTCAAAATATGGACAAAAATTCGCTGTAAATTCTCCGTTGTATATAATCTTTATATATTTATAGTTTAAATTATTCTTTACAATTAGAGTAGGTAATAAATGAGTAAAATTTAATGAAAATTCAGAATTTTCTTGTGATGTAAAAGATATTCAAAGCAAGTACCTGTATAACGTGGAAATGCTGGCCTACCAGCAGCTGAGCCGAACACTGGTAGTTCACTTTGGCGTTTGAATCCCGGCAAATGGGCTGGCTGCGTGGGTGTTTCTGTTATTTTCCCCAATGTCACATGTATACGAGCCAGTTTCCTATACAGTGTCCTCTACAAAGTCATTCCTCCCCTTAGGTGAGTAGGCCTCAAGTGCTTTGCTATAATTAAATAAATCAAAACCAAACACAGAAGTACTTTTAAGGAAATTCTAATCTTTTAAATTTCGATTAGGCAAATTTGTAACCAGGAAAATTTAGATTAAAAATTATTAATTATAAATTACTTTTATATTTAGTTACTTTATGCATATGAAAGTGACTGTTGTAATTCCTTCATATTTTTTATAAACAGCAAGGTGTTAGCCAAACATTTCAATCCTTTTAACACATCTTTGTGTTGTAGAGCTTCCTTTAAGTGAAGAAAATCGCAATTACAAAAACAAGATATCGGATGGTTGTACTTTCCTTTCATCACCACGTTTATCAAAACATGACAACTTGAGTAATGACTCATGAAGCGATGCGTAAACAATTTTTTTTATGTTAGTAATTGAATAATAAAGGAGTATGGTAGCCTTTATGTTGACATTGCACTTGGCGATGATTACAGATTTAAGTTAAATGCTCGAAAGAATGTTGACAAGGAAAAGAAATTTACCAAAAATTTCTTTCCATATGCTAAAAGTAGATTTTGTTGATGGTACTCATAGACCCAAAGATAACATTTAGGGCTATTTGAATTAAGAATAACTGATTTGTTATTCACATAAACCAAGAATCAGCGCCGAAGCTCGTATGGCCGCAGAATTTAGGCACCCACGAGTTGCACGCATCACGTGGTAATATACCTAGCGCCGGTCCTCAATAAGCTCTTAAGTGAGAATTTATTTATTCACGACTAGGATAAGCCTTGCAAGAAATAGACACAAGAAATAGACACAAGTATAATAAATAACTTAACTAATACAATTCAGGCTTAATTGTCTCAGTGCGCAATAGAAGCAAGATGAAATTTAACGGAACAACTTGTTAGTAGCCAAGCTCATGATGCATAGCCAAATATGCATAGTGAAGAATAGCTAAATTTGAAGATAATAGCCGCTAATTTTAAAGAATTTTG